AAGGTTGCCCAAGGAGTCTGTGGTGCAGCAGAGAATAAAATGTGGGTGCGCAGGCTGCAAGGCTGGCACCGTAGCCACAAAGGCGCCCTTACTGCCCATAGGGTCAATATGAAGCCCGCATGGATGGATGCGGTCCTATGCTCCTGCTCCACTCCGGGTAGATAACTGCCCACTTTTAAACACTTACACTGTACCTTTCCATGCCTACTATTTCTGAAGGGGGAACAGTCCGTCCAAGATCAGAAGCAAAGCGATAGCCCAGATCCCCGTGTGGAGAGCAGAGGGCGTTTCCTAGCTGAGGGCTCCAGCACCATCTGAAAGCAAGCTCTCTGGCACGTCCTTCCCACTCACTCACATAACACAACCACCCTGGGGCCCCCCAGAGACCCCCCTGCCGTATCAACAAGCGACGACTCTGCTGAGTGGGGTGGCGCCGAGCCAAACAGAAGCCCAGGCCAAGCTGCTGCGCTATCCCCAGCCCTCCCCACCCCCACCACAGGAGTCCCGATGCTGATGGATGGAGGTGCAGTGATGCCAATTTAACAAGCCAGGTACTCGGTGCTGCTGGACCTCCCCTGCCCACCCCCAAGTTACTAAGGAAACTTGCCCTTTAAACAGCGTTCTCCCAGCAGCAAACAGCTTAGTGAGCTTTTCATCATCTTCCTGGAAGCCCCCGGTCATGTTCAGATAGGATTTCACTCCCTCGGTATCCAGCAGTATACAGAGATGTAACTTGCATAGAAACATTTCTTTAGGCCAATAAAAACTGACAGTTTGATTAAAAAAAAAAAAATTAACATTTCACCCCCCGGTGTTTACAGCTCCTGTTACTGCCGTGTTGGAGCAGCTCAAAGCCACCAGTGTATTTAGCCTCGCATCACTCCTGCAAGAAAGGACGGTGCTGAGTTTTTATAGATGGGCAACTGAGGCACACAAAGGCAAAGTGACTTGACTAAGGACAAACAGGGAGTCTCTGGCAGAGAAAGGAACTTAAATGTTCTCTCTCAAAGCAGGGGGCTGAATCTGTTGATCTCGCAAGGTCTCTTACAGCCCTAACATCCATGAAGTCCCAGGCTGGCACCCCAACTACTTCCTTTCTAGAGGATTTATACTATTTCTCCAACATATGGGCCAGCACTCAAACCTATAGCCACAGACATACAGTAAGCAAGGAACTCCCCACAGCTCCTCCGCTTTCACAATCTTTGGCAACTACCATTTACAGTCATGTCTCTGCCATGATGATGAACAGTTTTGGATAGATGGGCCAAAAGATTTAAGTTCTCTGCTTATCTGCAGAACAGATCCAACAGAGGAAGCATCAGTACACGTCTCCCACACACAAAGAGCAGGAGGCAAGGAAAGGCTATCAAACTATGCCTGTACCAAGTAATGGCAGGTACTAAGGCAGCCCCAGAGCATACCACCGCCTACATGCCAAATGATTTACAGGGGCTGCAGAGAGAAAAGTCTGTGCCACCCAGTTGCACGCATGTACTTGACAGTGAAGAAAAACAGGAGGTGCAGGCCTGGGCAAGAGGTAAACTCAACCCCGGAATAATTCAGCCTGGAAAGGCCCAGCGTTCATGAAGGCATGAACATTATGAAACAGCAGAGGAAGGACAGATACAGGCCAGCTCCTCCTTGGACCTCTGCCATGCAAGGAGCAAGCAGACTTTACCCAAGGATGAGGATCACAGATGGACTCTTCACTCCCGGCTCTAAGACTCCTCTCAAGCCAAAGCACCATCAGAACAGGATGCCAAAAACAAAACAGCCTTATGAATGCAAGTGGGCCAAAAGGATCATCTAGCCCTGCAGTGGGATTCGGCTTTACAGTGTAGCAGCCTCAGACGCAGGTTCAGCCATAATGTACAAAGTCACGGCAGACAAGTCCAGCAGCAGTTTCCCCAAAAAACATACATGGCAAGAGTGGTGTGGTCTCCTGGACAAAGCCCAGCTCTCAGGATGCCTGGGTTCCCTCACTGGGCTCACAGCTCAACTCCAGGCAATTCACACTCCAACATACCTTCTCTGTGGGTGAAATGATGCTAATGATCCTTCTTTGGCGTGAAAGGCTGCTGTGCAACTGAATTAGGCCACGTACCCCAGTAGACAGACAACTGGATCAGGACAGGCCACGTATCACCATGGATAGAAAACTGGAGCGCAACTCTAGAGATCCAGCTGCTTCACTAGTGCAAAATCCCAGGCTCAGTATCCCATCTTCCCCACCTGTACTGCAGTGCGTGAAGGGTGTCATATTCTAGAGGAAGGGACTTGGATGCTTCACTGAAACAACACCATGATCCCTTACCAGATGCTTTGAGATCTACTGAAAGGTGCTAGAGAAGAGCGAGATGGCGTTATGAGTTAGTATTAACAAGGGGTTTCGAGACCCTCAGGTGAATGGAGTTCTGCCACGTGACACACTCTTCCACTGTTACTGGCTGCACTAGCCAATTGCCCAGGCACCAAAATGAGCACGCCTGGCCCTGGAGGTTGTGTTGTACGTGTTCTGGCAGCAGGCTTCAGTTACTTGAGAATAAATAAGGTCAAGCAAGCTTATGTAAGTGCAAGAGGCATGGCCCTGCAGCAGCTAGGGCTGCTATTTCAGGCAGATGTCTCCTCATTTAAGGCTCTAGCTCCCGACTGTCCCCCTCTCTTGCCTCTTAGTTTTGCACAGGGACACAGCGACACCCACAGAGGCAATTTTAGCACGTTGCTCTCTTCCCAGCTCCAGCATGTGCTGTTAAAGCTGCCTCCAGGCTGCCTGCTCATGACTAAGCGGCCCTCCAGCCCAGCGTACGCACATATGGTCGCTCAAGGAAGATGGGATGGGAAAGCAAAACACAGGGGGCAGCCTCTCCCCCACCCCTTGTGCCACTGGGGCAAGGCTTAATCTGGACAGTCGCTGGCTGTGCTGCTGCAAACCTGACGAACAGCAGGCTCCCTTGTGAGCTGTGGTGCTGCCTACCCAGAGGTGGGCGTGAGGCCAGTGCGAACTCCCAGCTTTGCAGACTACACTGCATCAAAACAACGAGCAAATTCTGCACTAACAAAACTGGGACTGGACTGTCTGGGAAGGGTGGTCAAGGACAAAGACTTTCAGCTTCTACATCTGACCTCCAGCCAGCAGGGACTGAATGCTGTTACCCTCCAGCAGAGGCTGGCAGTGGTCCACGAAGTCTGGGACCCACGGATGTAGAGGCATCATAAAATCCAGTGGCTTCCTGACATGTCAGAGCACTCTCTTTCGAAACTTGCGGGTATTTAACCCGAAGTAGGTAAGAAAGCACAATACGGGAGACAGGCAGCAATGGAAGGGTTTACCTTGAAGTGAATCTAGCTTCACTCATCATTTCCTGATGAAATCATTCAAAGAAAAGCAATTTGCCAAAGCCCAGTACTACCTTGTATAAATGTCATCTCAGAATTGCTTAAAATAGGTTTGCTTAGATTTTTCTCCCTACCCAATGACGAAGAAATTAGAGCAATTTGTTCTGTTGCTAATATTCCAAGCTATAAAAAGCTAAAAGCCACTCTAACCACCAATTTAAAAAGTGTGAAGAACGAAACCTACGCCTAGGAAAAGGTCATTGTACAAAAAGGTAGAAAATAGAGCACAGGGCTGGAAGGAACCACTTGGATCATCAAGTCCAGCCCTCAGCCCCTGCAGACAACCCCATTCAGAAACGTACAAAGCTGCATCTTAAAACTAGTTATTTATACCCACTGATGCACTAACCAATACAACCTGAATATTTTTCCAGTCTGCAGGCACACGGACTACCTCTCAGATAGCTTCAAACCAATTTCTTCCAATGCCTTTCACCAGAGGCAATCTTTGCAGGACCATGTTTGCAAAACAAACGATTTGTTTTTCCCCAATTCTTGGCAAACATTTTCCAGTGCTGGGAATAGGGACCACAATTTATGTCTCAATCTGGAGCCAGGAATCCTTGGTTCTTAATCCTAGTTCCACTTATCTTTTTCTGGTCTACAGGGGGGTGGGGTGGGAGCAGATCGAGGTCCCCGCAATGAGGGAGGGAGTGGGGCTGGGGCAGGCGCTGCACTGATGGGGTGGAGCAAGGGACAGAGTTGCAAGTGGGCTGTCTTGGGAGTACGGGGGGATGGCTCCCACTGGTGCATGTACCCTGGGAGGGCGTGGGGTGGTGCATGCCCCTGATCTGTGTGTGGGGCGAGGGCAGGCTGCTGCTGCTGCAGCAGGCTGGGGCCAAGGTGGCACTGAGCTCTTCTCAGCAGGGGGCTGGGCTGCACTCAGGGTGGGCAGCAATGGCACTGGCTGGAGGCTATGCGGGGG